AGGGTTTCTCTGTGGCTGTCCTGGAACTAGCTCTTGTAGACCAGGCTGGTCTTGAACTCAGAGATCCACCTGCCTCTGCCTCCCGAGTGCTGGGATTAAAGGTGTGCGCCACCACCACCCGGCTGGCTTGGTCAGTCTTACTTGTCCCTCCACATAAGGAACTGAAGTACTCAAAGATTTTGTTACACACACAGTAAGTCTTCTAAAACCATAAATGCCACATCTAGCCAGAATACTTGAATATCCTAGTGTCAAGGTAATACTACCGTTATAGACTAGGATTCAGGCTACAGAGGGGGCCTGTTGATATATGCATGTTCTTGTGTCTCATACAAGACATTAGACTACGGATAAGTGAGTATTGGCAGAAACAGATATAGTTTTTTTGTTTTTGTTTTTTTTAATGGAAGAAAAGCACCTCTGAGGTTGGAAGCTGGCCAGGGCTAGAGGAAGTCGATGGCTAAATGGTGTGTAGGCCAAACAGATTAAGACATTCATAGAGTGCTTTTTAAACACATGCATTGTTACATGACAGTGTTTCTTCCCACTGGCTCCTTTCATACATAAATCTTGATACCTCTCTCAGGCCTTCTTTCCTGGCAATCTAATGTTACACTCATAAGAAAGACTACCTTCCCTTTCAGCCCTCTTGTTTCCTACCACTTTCCATTTGATTTCCTTCTCTTTTTAGGGCAGCTGCCCTGAGATTTCAACAAGTCACATAGATTACTCACTGAGCATCATACTCTTAACGGAAGTTGGAAAATGTAGGGATTTTGCTTCATGCTCATAATGACATGCAATGGTCACAATATATAATCCCAGCGCATTTCATTTACTCCAAAAGCAAACCTGTACTAGTTGTCTCGTAGCTATTATACATCACTGTTCTCTCAGCCTCTGGCAATCACTAAGATCTCTATCTTTATAGGTTTTTCTACTCTAGAAATTTCATATAAATAGAACCACACCATATGGCCTTTTATGTTTAACTTCTTTCACTCAGCATGATGTTTTCAGAGTTCATCCATGTGTCACATGAGTCAACTGGTATTTCTTTAATTTTACCTATGAATTTTACAATGGATTGGATTTTAAACTATGAAATCATTAACTTTATTGGGAGAATTGATTCCCTTATGGTAAAGAAGAACATTCCTGTCCTTACAAGTAGGATAATAAGTATTTAGCAGTTAGATTTCAAATGATTTCAATTACTTCAGCAAAAATGAATATGTAGATACACATAGAAATTTTTTTAATTTGGCAATGGGTTAATAATTGTTAAACTTTGTGGATAGAGCAGGAATGTTATTGTGTCATTCAATCTTACATTTGAAAATTTAAAATAGTAAGTTGTGAAAATGTAAGTTTAAGGGACTGGAAAGATGAATCAATCAGTGGTTAAGAGTACATATTGCTTTTACAGAGGAACAAAGTTCAGTACCCAGCACCCACCTGGGACAGGAAGTTCATAAAAACCTGTAATCCAGCTCCAGGGATTACCAGCTCTAATACCTCTGGCCTCTGCAGGCAACTAAACTCTCTCACACACACACCTTTCCTACAGATACACATACAAATATCATTAAAGTTTTTTATCTTAAAAATGAATTGAATATTTTCATTTAAATACAAATAAGTTGAAATAATACAACAAAGATTGTGGTGATATATTATTTATGATTTATTGAAGCTTGCCTGCAGGTACAGAAAGCAAAACTAGCCACAAGTCATAGAGCTAGGAAATGGTGATACACACCTTTAACCCCAGCAGCCACACTAGTTAACCATAGAGCCAAGAACACACCTTTAATCTCAGGACTCAAGAGACAAGCAGATGCATCTCTGTTAGTTCAAGGCCACACTGAGTTACATGAAATTGATCAAGTCTGAAAGAGAAACAGTTCACAAAGGTGATCTTAGCATGTGGGATCACACACCTTTAATCCCAGGATTTGAGAGGTATAAAAGATAAAGGCAGCAGTCTGGGATTGCAGTCTGAGGCTTGGTGGAGAGATTTATTCTCCAGCCATGCTGAGGACAGCCCTTTCAGCCCAAGGTAGAGGAAGAGCTAGTGGCCTTCCTGCTTTGCTTCTCTGATCTTCAGCTTGAAGCTCGAACCCCAATATCTGTACCTGGGTTTGTATTTTTGTCTTACAAAAGATACATGAAAAAATGTTAGGAAGTTATGAAAATAATATAACAAATATCAATAGAATCCACCTAATCTAAGAATAACAACAATAACATTACTATGTTTATATTTATGTTCTTTACTCTATACTCTACCTCCTTGTTTTGATATTAAAAAACTATTAGAGAAGTTTTTGAGCATGTACAATTTTGACACAAGCTAGGCTCATTTAAAAACCTCAACTGGGAAAATGCCTCCATCACACTGGCCTATAGGCAAGTCTGCAAGGTGAAACAAACCCTTCCCTACCCAAGTTGCTTTTGGTCACAGAGTGTATCACAGCAATAGAAACCTAACCAGGACATGCACAGTGCCCTGCTCAAAGCTGTGCAGCTCCGTTTTGGAATATCAGAGATTATTCATAGAGAATTATTTTGATTTGTAAAGTCAATAACACTCTTGATATATCCTATCAAAAATATCCTATAAAGGAAGATTCCCTCAGAGGTATTTAGCCTACTGTGACATCATGTTAGAAGTGCAAATCCTAAATACAGATTCTAAATTTTCTGTGGATGCACACCACTTTCAATGATGATCAGTTCTAAAAAGCAATGTTTTGGGCATGTTTCTTTTTACATAAAAACAAATGGATTTTTCATAAAGAATGGAAACTATGTCTTGTAGCTGTTATCACCTGAAGGACTCACACTGATACTCCATTCAGTTCATCCATTGCTGCTGTGAAAATTGTTTATAACACAGAAGTGCAACTCACCTTCCTGTCCTAAGAAGCCGTTATGTGGGAAGCAAGCATAGCACTAAAGCACTGAGATCCTAGCAGTAATTAGTATGGTAGCACAGAGTCAAAGATGAAGAAGAATTTCTGGTTAGTAAAGGAATGAACTGTGCAGCACAGTGAATTATTGAGAATAAGCAATAGGGATGGAAAAAAGAGAAAGGGGAAAGAGGAAGGGGAGGAAGGGAGAACAGAAGAGGGAAGGGGGAGGAAAGAGAAAGAGTGTGTTGACTCACTGTGTAGAGAGTATGGTTAAAGAGGAAATAAGAAGAGGAAGTGGTTTACAGAATAAGGGGTTTTATATATTAACTCAAGATGATTTTAATCTCTATTGGCAGAAAACATAACAATCACCATAAAAAGAAAAGCTGACATGTTAGTAGAAGAAACTGTTAAGGCCATAAAAATAATGATGTTTTCATATGGATCACAGTTCTGCTATGACTCTACTTGATGTCTCATGTTTTGATTGTAGAGTAATAGAACAGCATACATCTAATAAGCACTGGATTTTCCCACTCTCACTTAGTTTTCACACACACACACACACACACACACACACACACTCACACACACACTCACACACACACACACTCCCACACACTCACACTCACACACACACACTCACACACACTCACACACACACACACACACACCACACACGCACACACACTCATACTCATGAATGCACACATATATAAGCCCTTTATGGCTCATTAGGGTCAGGGAAGGATGGATACAGATTGCAGAACTAGTAAGGGTTAAAAATGAGTTTGAACTAAAATGTCTCTAGTTAACCTATAATAGTCAAAACTTAACTCAAGCAACAGTTACCACATAAAGCTTCTTATTTTCTAGGCTTGAAAACTAACTCAACAGCCTAAATAAATTTAGAAGTTGAGCTAAACTTCATAAGACATGAGATCTCTAAGATCTTAAATGCAAGATTAGACAAGTTAAATAAGAATATGAATGGGTCTGAAAAACAGTACTTAATAGGATGAGCTTTTAAAAGCTGTCAGTAAAGAGCCCATGAGAGGAAGAGGGGAGAGGCCTGGTGGAGTAAAGGACCGTAGAACACCACGTGATTTGAAAGTGGAGGGGGGGGGTGTACTGGGAATAGAAAGGTTTTAAGCAGTGGTATAGAATGTTGAAGGAGAGAGTAGAGGAAGTATTATCCAAAATTAAAAAAGAAAGGTTTATTAAAAAGCCATATGGAAATTTATTGCTTCATAAATGAATTTAAAATTATAATCTAAACAAGAGCATTTGCATGGCACTAGCCTGCATGGGTGGATAATGCTGTTTTCAAAAAGCCATATATTATTAAATGAAAATCTAATGACAAGAATTAGATACTTCTTTATGAGTTGGTCAGAGAGGCCTCAAACAATACAAGTTATTACCACTGTTCTTGATTCCCACCAGAAATGCATGGTAAGATGAAGACACCACACACTTGGGTTATAGCACATGCAGAAATCAAGTTGGAATTGAACTGGAAGCTTCCTCCCTTCTGGCTGTTCATAGTACTGAGGTGCTGTGCAAGCTGCTGGGGGAGTGTGCTGCAATACTGACTTTCCAGGCAAGCGTGCCCATGGGGCAATAGTGGCATACTAGTCATGAAGGTAGCCAACCACTTTTTGATAGAATTGATGCCTGCTCCATAGGAGGAAATCCATGCTTATTGCTGTAAGTCTTATCAAAATCCCACGACAAGGAAGGTAATAGGTCCCTGGTTGTTTTGCAAATGGACATGTGAAACAGTTTTCTAAATATTTGTTTATACCCATAGATCTTTGGTGCTATTCAGACTGGTCAGAAAGGCTTCATTTTGCTGTGGGCAGGGGTTAGTGTAGAGATACTTAACTGGCCAAAGTGTTAAGAAACTATTGAGTGTTCAATCCTAAATGAGACATCTTTAGTACCCTTCTATCCCATTCCAAGGCTCAAGGAAAATTGCAGAAGAGTGTATGTGGGGCAAGAGCTGAAGGATACAGAGAGGTGCTGTTTTCTAGACACGACACACCATAGCACTTGTGAACTCACAGCAGTTGTGGTTACCTGCACAAGACCTGTACAAGATGGAGCCCACGGACGTTTCAGCAAAGATGGGGGAAGGGCTCATAAGGCTCTACCCTTCGTTGAGAAACCATTAGCAGCTGGTAAGGGCTGCTATGAGAGAAGGGATCACTTTTCTTCAGTGGTGTGAGCTTTCGTAAGAAACCCATGTTTCAATGAATAACACCATACCTATGTAAAAAAAAAAAAAAAAAAAAAAAGCAACTCTAATTAAACTCAGTGGGGTCTCAAAAACAAACAAACAAACAAACACCCATGATAGTAGGAGAAGGATTTGTTGGGAAAAGGGTCCAGAGGGAAGGAGAGGAGGTAAGAGAGGATAGTGGGGACTGTGTGAACATTATCAAAATACACATGTATAAGTATTGTACAAGGATTTTCAAAAAATTAGGATTTCAAAAATTTCAGGATGTGGGGCTTGGGTATATAGCTCAGTGATACCATGCTTACCCAGTGTGATGGTTTGAATGAAAACAGCCCCCATAGGTCATAGGGAGTGGCCTTGTAGGAGGAAGTGTGTCGCAGGGCATGGGCTTTGAGGTTTCCGAAGCTAAAGCCAGGTCCAGTGTCTCTCTCTCTTCTTACTGCCTTCAGCTCCAGATATAGATCCGCCATGTCTGCCTGCATTTCAACATGTTGATAATGGACTAAACTTCGGAACTGTAAGCCAGACCAGTTAGATATTTTCCTTTGGAAGAGTTGGCATGATCATGGCATCTATTCACAGCAATAAAACCCTAACTAAGAGACCTCACATACACGAAGTCCACCAAAAAATATAAATAAATAAAATAAGTGAAACCAAAGTTTAGAATATGGTTTCTTACCTAGACAAACAAACAAACAACCTGCCAGTCTTTGGGGATGGGGTTGTAACTCAATAGTAGTCTGCACGCCAAGCAAATACTACCTAATATGCATGAGGTTCTGAGAAGAGGGAGCTGGTGGTTAGAAAAGGAAAGAACAGTTCTAAGAGACAAGGAACATACACAAATGTAAGTGCATGCACATATATACCATATGTGTGTATGGGGCATGTGTGTGGGGAGACAGAGATGGGGTGGGGAGGAAGACCCAGTTAGAAAACAAAAAATGACAAAATCAAGGATCCATCTGTTCTGCATTAAACTTTGGCTAATTTATTTTAATAGTGGTGAGAGTACTATGTCACAGATGCTTTCATAATTGCTCTTAGGATTTAAAATAGAAATCATCTTTCTTGGGCAATGTACAGTATGCTATAGTCTTGAAAAGAAGATTTGTTTACTTAGTGTTCCCACTTCTAGGAATGCAGCTCAACACAAATAAAATTGGAGAGCATGTCAAGAATCTATGGAGAACTGTGAACAACAAAAGGGGAATTGTTCAATAAAATATATTTTCACATGTTACTTATTACATTCATTAAGATAAAATTTTCAAATAATTATATAAAAAGTTCTACAAAATTACTTTTTGAGTCAAAAAGACAAATGCTAGTAGACAGTATAATCTTGAAATAACTTTAGAAACATATGCATGCAAAAGAAGAAATAGTAAATAAAAATGGACCATAATATTAACAGATGTTATTTATGGATTGTGAGACTGCAGATGAGATTTACATAATACATTCCCAAGCTTTTCTATAAATGAGCACATGAATGTTTTATAATGAAAGGGCTATGAAAATAATTTTAAATGCTATGGTTTAGTCATCTTTTACTGATGAAAGTGACATAATGATGATAATATTTATAGAAGAGCAGTGTCAATCCTTGGATTCATTTATTTTTCACATTTCTTTGCATCTTTTCTGGGTCTGGATGAGTGTCATATTCCTTAAATACTAACTGATCAACAAAAATGAAACAATCCATATATTTTACTATGCCCCAGGCTCCCAGGGCCTGCAGCTCAGAAGCATAACACAAGCTGGCTGGTTTTCTTCCATCAGCCAGATTCTGGAGACAGCATGCTCAGTGGATTCCAGATTCCTGGTCCACCCACTTCTTGTTTGCATTCTTTTCCTCTTCCTCTCAGTTCAGCTTTGACTGGTAAACAGTCTAAACCTTGAAGAACAATGCAGTCCATCCACTCTTCTTTCCTTCCTTTTCCTTCAAGGTACAGGTTTGATGAGAAGTGCTAGTATGGGAAATCCAGTACAGGTGGTGGTCCTCTCTGTATCAGCTTTTAGTCTCAGCACTGGTCACCATATGTCACATGCATTTAAAACACTGGCTTTCACTCGAGGGCCCATATGAGTTCTTTGGCAACTGTGAAGGTCTTCCAAACTACATAGTCTCCTAACCTAGATAACCTAGCTCCATCTCCCAACTCACTTGTTCCCTACCATCTGTGGGATACCCACAGCCTTCAGCTCTGCAGAGCTCTTTTCTGGCAGGAAGTGATTTTAGGTAGCATCCCACCCTACTCACTAGACCCAGAGAAAATCAGGCCTATTAGAGGCACAATTGGAATAGTTTATTGTCCCATTGTATTACATACCCTAGTACTTTGTCCTCCCTGTATCCATACCCTTTCATATGACCGCATAGTTTCACTAAAAACATCATACTTATTTCCTTATTCTTCCAGTTGGGACTTGCCATGGGATTTCCCCCCTCAAATATATTTATTTCCTTTAATCAATTATTTTAGGTTTGAGATTATTTTGGTATAGATAGTAACTTGGAAATGATTCATCTGGGCTTGCACTGTCTTGTTCACTCTCATTACCAGGAGAAAGCTATATGGTTTTAGGTTGATCCACTGACTGAGAGATCAGAAACACCAAGCTATTCTAGTTGAAGACAATAAGGTAAGAATTTCCAAGAAAAAATGAGTAAATCCATCTTAAATCATACCCTCACTTTTGAAATGCATGCTCAGAACCTCATTGTTGTTATGTTATATTATTTTGGCCAAAGACAACAGTGTTCCCAGTCCAATGATGGTCTGCAAACTCATCACTCATGTTCTTTCTATCCAGTCTTCCTGCTTCCCTGCCCTATGCTCAGATAAGCATAAAAGAAGAGCATCACATCCACCTCCCAAGCAGATTCTTGTGAACAATGAGGGATATACAACTTTCCCTTAATTAAAACAAGTTAGCCTGCCAGACTCTCAGGGATGCCGGTAGGATGCATAAAACTATTGACTCAGGAAACAGTTTATTCTCCCAATAAGCTGGAAACCAGAGTATTCATTGTGTGCTGGTTCCCACAAGTAGTGGACTAGAGGGCATCTGTATAGAAAGCGGGTTGCATATCAAGGCAGAAACTTTGAACTTGGTGTGGTAGTTAATATCTGTAATCACAGAACCTGGAAAGTAGAAACATAAGGTTTTTTTTCCCCCAAATTCAAGGCCATCCTGGGCTATCCAGAGAGTTCTACATTAGCCTGAGCAGGAAGATTACAAATTCAAGGCAATTTGTCTACATAACAGACCCCATGTCAAAGCTTAGAGAACTTGAATATCTTAACATCCACCCTAGGTGAACTTAATCTTTGCTTCAAAGGGAGATATTTAAGGTTTGCTATAATATATCCACTTTCTGTCCCCATAATAAGATACAAGAGGTTTGGTGTTCTATATAGAAATAAAAAGGTTTATTTAGCTTACAGTTTTGAAGGCTGAAAGTCCAAGCAGCATGTCAGTGCAAACAACAGTCAGATGTCAGTTCTGGCAATGGCTTTTCTCAACTGCCTGAAATACCATGGTGGACAGATGTCATCACCATTGAGATCAGATAACAAGAAGTAGCCAGGATTTCTTGTTTCTAACAACCTTCCAATAAAAACTAACTGAGGTCCCAGAATTACGTGGTTCTTTCCAAGGTCAGTATCCCCAATACAACCAACTGTGTTTACTTCTTAAGGAGCCTACAACCTCTCAACATCACTACACTGGGATCAAGCTTCTAACATAGGAGTACAAACCATACCCAAACCATAGGAAGACAGATACACCAACTTTCAAGGGTGGGAAAGCTATATAGCAAAAAAAAGGTGTTTTGCACATCACTTGAAAGACACATGGGTGTGTGACAGAAAGTAGAAAGAATTTTTCTCCTGTTATAGATGTCTCCCAGAAAACAGAATGGTAGCCTTTTCTTCTAGTCAGTTATTGGTAATTTTTAGAAGAAACTGGCTAATCCTCTTTATTTTCCTTCTCCAACAGGCTGACAACTTCTGATTGTCTTGTGTTCTCTTGACCCCAGACTTCTAGTGTAAATGGAAAGATGATGGTACCAATTCAAAGACACTTCTGTGGCCTCTAAGGAATCTTGGGTCCAATTCTTAGGTAATAGGAAAGTTTCCATCCTATCACAAATGGACTGAGATACTTGATAAGTATGTGATAATATTCTCCCCCAAAGAAGTTATGCAAATACTACCACAGAGTATACATGTGGACATACATGTCTGCTGCCACCCTATTCATAATAGTCAAACAGAAATGCCTTAGATACCCATCAACAAATCAGCAGAAAAAGGAAATCACATACATAAGAGTCTTTGATTCGGCTATAAAGAATTAAATTGTGATGCTGGGTAGTGGTGGCACATGCCTGTAATCCCAGAATTTGGGAGGCAGAGGCAGGCAGATCTCTGAGTTTGAGGCCAGCCTGGTCTACAGAGTGAGTTCCAGGACAGCCAGGGCTACACAAAGAAACCCTGTCTCAAAACAAACAAGCAAAGCACCAACAGAAAAGAATTAAATTATGTCATATGCAGGAAAATGGATAGCACTGAAAGGTAGCATGCTAAATGAGATAAGCTAGACTGGGAAAAGCAAATACTTCATGTTATCTCATATGCAGACTATACATAAATGTATACATACACTATACATATATTGCAGCAGAGAGAGGTGCGAAAGATGAATGCAGAATGGGACTGTGAGGAAAGAGAGGCGCCTCAAAGGGAGCAGGGACAAAGAGAGGGTAACAGCAGGGGGAGAAAGAAAACCTTACTTAGTTTCATGTGTGGACTCCATTTTTAACTGTACACACATATGAATGTGCACACGTGTAACATGAAAACAAAAGGAGAGCTATTTGTGGGAAGGAAAGAGACCAATATAAGAGCAGGGAAGACAACAGCGGAGTGACTGGGCAGTTCACTGCATTACACACACACACACACACACACACACACACACACACACACACTTAAAATATTATAATGAAATTCATTATTTTATATGCTGACTCTCCTTCTGTTCCAGCACCCACATCCAGTAGTTTAGAGACTCCTGAATTCCAGCTCCAGGGAATCCAACATTCTCTGAACTCTGTATGTATGTACTCATGTGCACAAACCCCTCCCCCCACATATAAACATAATTAAAAATAATAAAGTAAATCTTTAAAAAATAAGTAATACAACTGGGAAGCTTAAATTTAGTAAACTTTAAGAGACATACAAATTTCTATGTATAGCATAAATATGTTCGACTAGAAATTGACAGCTAGCTGCCACATAAATAAGTCTTACAACAATTGTAGATAGAGTTCATTTTAGAATAGAGCACATTGTACATAAAATGCAACCTAAGAGGCAAAGATGACTCAGAACTGAACTTAGCCAATGAGAGAGACTCTTTTGTGAATGGCATTGTAATGGCTAGTATTAATGGACACGTCGACAAACTCTAGAGAATGGTCTGGAAGAAGGGCTTCTGAGCAGGCCTGCGGGAGATTATCCTGACTTTATGAATTACAGCAGGACTTGAGTAGCGCCTATTCCTAGGGCTGGGTCCTGACCTTTGGGAAATGGAGTCAGCAAGCTGAGCTCTAGCGAGCTTTCACTCACTCCTCTTTCTCTGGGTACTGACTGGAAGTGGGGTGATGGCCTGCTGCAGTTCCCGCCCCTTTGAGTTGTGGGGTCAGGGAGTTTCACGAGAGCAACAGGAAAAGAGTCCCTGCATGCTCCATTCTTGGGCTCCGCTTTGCCATTTTCTCTGAGTGATCCAGTTTCTCTTCCTTTTCTTCAAGGTCTGATATTCTCTCTTCCACTTGATCTACTATTGTTTAGGCCTTCCATGAGGGTATTTTTCCTTCTGATTTTTCCTTTCATGCTTTTGTCTCTTTTTAAAACTATTTTCATATCTTAAATTGCTTATTTATTTCATTCAGCTGTGAATTTGCCGTCTTCAGACACTGCTCATATCTTGAATCCTTGATCAGATCTATTTTCTCTTTTAAAAGCATCGTCTTACATGTTATCTAAGTCACTTGCTCTGGGAACATTATTATAGCAGTATTCATTTTTGCAGAGATTTATTTTCTTGGTTATTCATGATTACTACTTATTTTTTGATGGGGCCGAGACATCTGGAGTTAGGTCACTGGTACTGTTTCTCACTATGGGAATCTTCTCTTTCCTTTGTTGTGTGGGTGTTTGAAGCTCAGTTGTCTGTTAACCCAACTTGTCAGGTTGAAGACTAGCATTATGGGGCTTAGGATCAGTCTTGAATTAAATTCAGTGTTGATGTTCCAATAGAATATTAGAAGTAGTTCTGGTTCAGCTCAAATTAATTGAACTTTCTAAGCACCGGTAGAGAAAGAAGATGGTGACAGTCGATATTTCAGAGTCTGGGGAGGTTCTCAGGCTGCGAGAGCCAGTAAAGTTTTCTGTACAAAGTCTAAGATCCCTGCCTAAGGGGATGGGGGCAGAGAGGAAACCACAAGACAGACAGGGGATGCATGGTTCTCAGGCAGGTTATGGGTTAGAAATGCCTGAGTATTAGTTGTCACTTTCCAGCCTCCTTGTTATTAGGGGGCCCTGTGATAGCTTCGAGCCACTGAATTCAGGAGAAATCATGTAAAGATGTAAAGTATTTTCAAACTTGGCTCTTAGCATCTCATGCAAACTTTCGACTCACTGTTCTTCATGTTGGAGACTACATATTCCAGATGCTAACATTCCAAGAATAAAGAATGCTGTCTGATCTGCATCAGACTATGGCATGTGTGATGAGTAAGCTTGAATTAAGTGAGGTAGATCACCCAAATCCTATCAAGAAACAAGTTGCTCCAGATAATTCAAATTAATAGACTTTAATGAAAGGACTCTCAGAAGTTTCAACAGAGTAAGGGAAGAAGCATGGGGACAGGAAACTGTCACCGCCTTTAGAATTAAATGGACAAGGAATCAGAGCTCTGACTGGAGTCCAGGAGAAGCTGCCAGGCAGGAACCCCAGTGAGAAACAACTCAGCCTTTGCCAGAGGTGCTGACAAAGCAGGGAATCTGGAAGAATACCTTGACATGCCTCTTCCCCACTAGGGTTATCTCCAGAGAAAGCATCCTCATTAGCCAACCCCAGCACAGGGGCCCCCAAGGAGAGCAGCTGATGCAGTCCATAGGAGCCAGCCTCCTGGGGCACAAGAAAGTTCAGTGAAGGGACAGAGCGTAGGTCTGGGAGGAACTGCTTGGGTTTATCTGTTGTGGCAACTAGATTTTATCACTCTGATAAGGATAAGGATTTTAAGCAGATTTTTAAAGTGAGTTTCTTCTTTTCAGTGTTGGACTTTAAACCTGGTATCTCATGCATACTAAGGAAGTTTTCTACCCCTGAGTCACACTCCCAGCTACTCAAGTAACATTTCATCACACACAATATGCTTTCAAAAACATCCTAAGACTATACAGAGAAGGCTGAAGTCAACCAAAATCAGAGGTAGCAGTACGTATGTAAGTGGGAACTGACTGTATTCTCTGAGAATATTTTCTCAAATTCTTTTCAGGTGAAGAAACAAATTAGGAAACATAAACAACAGCTGGTATGAAGATTCCTTAAAAAGTAAAATTTCAGACTATCCAGCAACCCCATTGCAGATGTGAAAAATGTGGAAAAAAAAAAAAGAAAAAGAAAAACAAAGCAAGCGTTAGTTTCTGGACTTGGGGTGGCCTTTACAGGTGTCCCCAAATGAGTGCAAGACAACTAGACCCTCACCACTACTATACGGTTAAATTACCTGGAGCATTCTACCTCTCAATATCACCATTGGCCAGGCAGCAACCATCAACTATCAACTGTCATCAGTCACACTTCTGTTAGCTGGGAGATAAGAGGTTCAGTTCTGAAGGAGGGATCAGTACCACTGAGTCTTAATATTGCTCAGATCCAGTCTTTCTCATAGAGTGCCTACTACATAGCCAAGAGTCTGTGTGAGGTATTGTTTGCCCTGCAGAAATCTGGTGTAATTGGAACTCCAAATGCTTTTCCCATACCTGCCGGGGACACCTTTACCTACTATTGTAAAAGCTAGAACTTTTAATAGTCTTGGTAGCCCTGAGAGATCTGGGCCTTTCTTTGATCACCTCCTTTAATCACACAGATTGGACTTGATTCAATGTTAAAACTAAATCAGCCAGGCGGTGGTGGAGAACACCTTTAATCCCAGCACTCAGGAGGCAGAGGCAGGCAGATCTCTGTGAGTTTGAGACCAGCCTGGTCTACAAGAACTAGTTCTAGGCCAGCCTCCACAGAGAGGAGGCTGCCTCAAACCTCTCCTGAAAAAAAAAAAAACCCAAAACAAAACAAAAACAAAACATTAAAACTAAGTCACAGGCACCAAGAAAATAAACTTGTATGTTAAACATACTCTCTGTTTTTATATGTAACAGTAGCTCCATTTATCTTTGAAGAGATAAATCAGTTACTTTTGTTAAGATAGAGATTCTCTCTTTTACTGGTCTTTTGAACTAAGGCATGAATTAAAATTAACTATAATTTAATATTCCAATGGGGCTCTTATGGGTCATCTGGTGGGAACATGACATTGCTGAGTCTCAGATCCCTGAGCAGGGCTTAAGAAACTAATACTCTAAGAGGACACTGGGATCAGGGCAACTATTTCTCCAGTTTGGATTCCTAAACAGTTCTGTTTGGGGAAAAAACATTGTTATGCCATTCACGAATTCCAGCAGTCCTTTAGTGTTTAACAGTCATTGAAAGTATTTAACTTTGGTAATAAAAACCAACCTAAATATTATTTATAATGATAGTGACTTTTCTTTTGTGTTGTCTTTGAACTTGTTGCTATGTTCCTACCTCAGCTTTCTGAGTGTCGTTACTACACAGGTATGTCACTACATATGGCTGTAGAGTGGATTGTTCCAAGTTGAAATGCTATGGTTCAACATCTCCCCTTAGCAGAGTTACACCTCATATGACTTTCTGTCTTGGTCAAGAAAGCATGCACTGGTGGAATTACACCATAAAAATGATTTTCCAAAAAGTTGTGATTTGTATCCGCAGATATTATGGAATTCACAGACCTGGAGTAATATTTGAAATCAATTTTTGAGGAATGATTATGTCCAAATGTAACTCAGTCCTCTTAGAACCTGAGTGTGTTACCTGTAGGAATATTTAAAAACTAATATAAAAAGATAAAGCATTAGTTATTCATGCTTATATATCAGAGTACCCGAGAGCAACTGTATACCATTTATATTTACACGGACATGGTGGCTTCCTATAGTTCCAACCACACAGAGGATGGCCTGAAGCCAGTTGTCTGGAGCTAGCTTGAGTTAACAGTGAGACGCTGTTCAATAAACACTGACAATTCCAACCACCGCATTAATTT